TTAATTTCTTTAATACTCAGCTGATTTGATTGTATCGTAATACTCGTGTCAAGTTCGATATGACATGTTTGATTTATGCAATTTGAACTCATTATATTTAAAATAAGAAAAACGATCATAAAATTTGAGCTTTACAATATGTAGGAAACCAGGAAAAAATACAACACCCATTTGTGAAATGTTTGGCATTTATCTTTGCTATATTCTCAAATCTTCAGACGATGGAAAAATATATTACCTGCATTTAACTTTTTTCGTAACCGGTTTTACAACCATGAATTGGCATGAAAATTTCAATTAAAACGCAACAGAGGTTCATTGCCATTTGTTTTACAATTTCCTAATGGGAACATTTGAAGCAGCAAATCCCTTTGCAACGATATTTTTAGTGTTTTTGTGTGAGTTACCACTACATATGATAATGACTCAGTTGGAGGAAATATCTGGAAGCGATAGAATTATAAACTAGCAAGATTTGCATTCAAGTTTTTCAATTTTTTTCTAAAAATTCGAAAATATTTCATTTTGAAAATAAATTGAATTTATTGGTATTTTATATGTATTGTTTACATTTTTCGACATATCAAATTGACACTAGTGTTACATACACTAACAATTTTCTTTGTGGTTGTTGTTGCATTGTATTTGTTGCAGTTACCTAGGGTCTATCGTGCTTCATTATTTTTGATGTAGGGGACAAAGAATCATATTTGACTAACCATAAAATCGCATTAATAATTATTTTCATATTGACACCACTGTCCCTCAAACGATTCACTCAAAAAATCACATTTCTCACAAAGTTCCAGTCTCAACTTAAAGGCAGATTCATTTTAACCACAACTTAGATTATTCAAAAATCTCAGCGACATCAGTCTGCCGCAGACCATCACATCAAAAGGTTGGCTGCGATCGCTACACGGGCGATTGATTCGGTTCATCAACACCCAACAAACAAACAAAAATCGCATCGTCGTCAATAAAAATAACAAAGGTTCTGCGCGTTCTATGTAAAACTAAAAATCTTTGTCGATAACATACAGAATCAAGGTCCAAGACAAAGGTCAGCGACATTGTTTTAAGTCGGTTAGTGAAGTGATAAGCTCTTGGAAAATCCAAATTGTGATAGGAAATAGAAATAAAGTCGTAAAGTATAATTGCAATGGTTTTACCCACACGGTCGATGGCATTTTTATGGCCTTTAATTTTGTTCGTGGCCCTTAATCTAAGCCACAGCAGCGTTCAGGCACAAAGTAAGTATGGTTTGAATGAAACAAAAATAACAACAACAGCGACGTATGTGATGATAAGCCATAACATTGAATCTAAAAGATTCATAATAAGAAATTCTTATTCGTTTTATTGACACAATGAAATTCAATGAATCACCGGTTTGCCTCAATCGGTTATACCACTAATGATGCTAATAAATGCCGCGCCACTTACTGCTGCTGATTTTCGACGCCAGCAGCTAACTTGTTTTGCTGTTAATTACCAACAACAACACTGAGAAACCGGCAGAGAGAGAGAGAGTAAAAAAATTCATAAATCATTCGTAAAGTAATAACCTTCTTTGCAAAAAAATCACCGACTGCTTTCATCCAATATTCACACAAAAATATAAACAAGTTTTAAAGTAAATTGTGATTCGAATTTCAAGTGCACAGAGACACGTTTTGAAAACAAGCTACAAGTTCACATGATCGAAACCACCACATTCTAATTCATGCATCTTAAAGTGTTGAAATGTAAAATACATTCTGTACGGACAATGAATATTAAAAACAAGACGTTCCATTTTTCATTGATCTATTTGTTGTTCTAATAAAGAAAGAACGTGTTTGCTTGATTAGTTAAATTGACTTTCTTTTATTTGAAAATAAATAGAAAATATTGAAATTTTGTCGCTCATTTCTTTGATTCGTGTTCGTGCTCGAGTTATATCAATGAAAATGTGTGCGCCTATTTATATGACGATCCCTCTCTAAACGATGTATTCACTTCCTAATGTATTGCACTCCTTTTCCAGTACGCCTTACCATTCTAAATGCTCTTAACTGTATTTATACATCCTATATAGTAATTTAAATTAATATGAAAATTATTTTTTTTAATTTCGAATTTAAATTCTAGAGCTATTAACAGACTGTTGCTACTTCGATTCAATGGCCGTTATTACCTGATGCTACTCTCTGGTCTTCAGGTGTACATATTTAGTACACGTAGTAGTTTAACAAGTTGAATCTCCCAATGGTGTCACTCACCACCATCACCATTAAATGAATTAAGTCAAATTATGTTTCTCATTTTGTGGACAAAATGTGGTGTTAATAGAAATTCTATGGCACTTACATTTATTTTTTATAGGTCACGTAGACATATTCCGTACAGAACACACACAGAAGCTGTTCTAAGGGATCGCATTGAAAAAAATGTGAATGAATTTCAATGACACCATGAATGAAATTGAACGTGCCATGCTCCAAAGTAGCTACAATTAGCACTTTTTTAAAGAATTTAATATGAATAGAAAATAATCATATTTTAAATTTAAATTCACGGATATATTATTTGTATAGTTTGTATGTAAAATTAATAAATAAATATTTTTATTATTAACTAAATAACAAAAATAAAAAAAATAATTTTCCAATTACCGTTAGTGGAAACATTAAACAATATACATAAAAATATATACTCGAACGCGACAGCTCAGGTAAAATATGCTAATAAAACCACATTTTAATTTAATTCAGCGGCCAGTTGTAGCCACATACATAACATCCCAAATATCTAAATTTTTTCACTTACAAGATTTCTTATTACAAATTTAATTGAAATAGCTCTGACTTCTGACATATTCCAATTTGATATCTACTTTGATCTCAGAAGTGTGAGTATTTTCATAACATTGCCAATAATAAAGTGTCTTATATAAATTTGTGAGAAACTGATCATTGCGATATGAGTTAATTTAAAGAAGTTCGAATTTTAATTTTTCTAACTTCGTATTGTAAATCGTTAAATTTAAATATTTTTTTTTCAATTTTTATATGTTGTCAAACGGTTGGGATTCTTTATTCTTCATATTTAATTACTACAAAATATATAAGGTATTTTTCATTGATATTTTTTAGTTTTCATTTAAAAGCATCATACTTACACATGAACTTCTTATTAAGTTTAATCAATTCAATTTTTTGACACACATACAGACTGTGTATAATTCTGCTTTCGTGTACTGAAATAAAAAACTTTTCATGGTAATCATTATGAATTCATATTGGAAAACGAACACACAAAAATTAAATACATTTACTTCGAATTCGAATTATTGATCCGATGTCATAAATTAGAACATATATTTATTAGGAAAAATATTAATTTGTGGAAAGTGTGTTGTGCTTGGATTGAGCGCAAATTTCATACACTATGCAGTGGGTCACAGACAAAAGTATCCACTTGTTTTTTTTTTTAATACAAATGCCACAAGTTCATGTTAATCAATGATTTTAATGGTTAATACTGGGTATAATATCCCTTGCTATCTTTTACACCTTTCAACTTTGCCGGCGCAGGTTTTACCAAGTTTTCCGTATTTGGTTTACTTGAGATGTTATGGCATCTAATACTTTTCTCCAAATAAGTTCATATGTTCTCTATAGGATTCAAATCCGGGACTGAGGAGGTATTTGAACCACTTTTTGACAATTATAAAGCATCCATTCTCCAACGACCTGGGTCTTCTGTTTGGAGTCATTATCTTCACAAAATTGAAATATTGTCCGCAATCAGCACTTCATTTCAGATTATGTTTTAGAATGTTTAAATAATAAATCTTATCCACAATTCCTTCAATAAAAACGCGATTTCCTACTCATACAGTACCATATCATTACAGAGCCTCCTCCGTGCTTTACGGTCCGAATTGTGTGCTTAGGGTCAACGGGTTTGTTCGCCCTGCGCTATACCTTACTTGGTCCATCCGACCCAAACAAGTTAAATTTCCTTTTATCAGGAAAAAATAACCGAAATGCAAAATCCTTTCTTCGTGTTCCTGAACGAACTCCAGTTGTTGTTGTTGTAGTTGTTGTAGCAGCCCTATTGCTTTTACACAATGGGCTGAGGTGACATTGGCCGAGTTCTTACTCGGGTCGTTTCGGATCGTAAACCCCTCTGTCGTGGAAACGACGTAAGGGATTTACGTACCGTAAGGGATACGTAAATCGGATTTTCCGGTGTTATGGGAATGGCTTTTTCAGTGTAGGCCACGCTTACGCAAAATTCTTCGACTTTTTTCCTGGATATTTCTTTTCTTTTCCAGATATTTCTTTGATTCTCGGTTTTGTGCCACAATATAATTTTTTGAACATTGAAGAACTAATTTTCTCTCTGCAATCGTTGTGTAGCGTCCTAAGGTCTCAAATTCTCACAATGGCTAAAAAATATATTGAAAATGTTACTAATGCCAAATTAATATATGTAAAAATTCAAAACGTTACAAACTAAGCGGCAAACGTATACTACCCATAAAATCATCAATCGTACTATTAAATAAAAATTCCCAGTAACCTGAACTATCAAACTGATATTAAGCAGTAAAAAGCTAGTCATTTGCATTCCATCAGAATAAATTGTTAATATATGTGAGTGTGTATGCACGTAGCCAAGTATTTAACATTTTGTTGCATGCGTCAGCGTAAAATGCAAAAAGAAGAGAAATAAACGTGTTTACAATTGATGTAGCCATCCGAGTCGTTCGCTGTCTTGTTTTGTTAAACAAACAGAGCGTCATTCAGCAGCAATCCGCGAAGCGGCAGTGGAAGTATCAACAAGCATGTCATATTTATCAAAAAATAGAAGCAATTAATTATTGTTGCTGTCGTATAAAAAAAAAGAAAAATAAATAAATATATTTTACATTTGTAGCGTATTAATAACCCGTTTCATATGCAATCTACTCTATTTGCTGTCATTGTTGTTTTTGTTGTTGTTATATCTTTATATGCAGATAGCTGCAGCAATCCAAATGGAAAAACCGGTGAATGTATTTCAATTTATGACTGCAGCAGTTTGTTGAATTCATTAAAGAATTTAAGCAGAAGTGCCCAACAGACGAGATTCATGCAGGAGTCACAGTGTAGCTTCAGCTCCCCACCCTTTGTCTGTTGTACGTCGGATATTGATTATGCAGAGGACAGTAATGAGCTATTGCCGGTAGGAACACAATGTGGCCCTCAGTCGATTGGCAATAAAATCTACAATGGCAACGACACCAACATTGATGATTTTCCCTGGATGGTGTTACTCGAATACAGAACCAAAAGTATGTGAGCAGTTTCGAAGAAATACAAAAATGAGATTCATTATTTTATACAAGGTCATCTGATATATTCGATTTTATTCTTTATTATTTATTTCCTGTCGATGTTCTTATGTGCCGGTCACTACCAAAGAAAATGGAAATTTGATATTGAATTGTGGCGGAAGTCTTATCAATAAGCGTTATGTTATAACTGCGGCCCATTGTATAAAAGGTGAAATTGAAACCGTAGTTGGGCCTTTGTAAGTTTGTCGTCCTTTTTTCATTTTCCAATGAAAGGAAACACTTTTGTTTTAATATTTTATTCTTGCTTGTCAAAATTCCAATAGGACCCGCATCCGTTTGGGTGAATACGACATAAATCAGGAAATTGATTGTATTGCCGATGATTGCAATCAAAAAGTTGTCGAAGTGGGTTACGAGCAGCTAATACCCCATCCTCAGTATGATGTGCGCAACACCAACAACCATCATGACATTGCACTGATACGTTTGGATCGAAATATTGAATACTCTGATTTTATACGACCCGTTTGTTTGCCACTGTCAGAAACTCGTGAGGCACCCATCAATCCGGGTGATTTGCTTGTGGTTGCTGGTTGGGGTAGAACTTTAGAGGGTAAGATGGCGTAATAAAATAATATAAATGGAAACATGTAATTGATTTCTTTTTTTTTATTTTCCAGCTCGCCAATCAAATGTGAAAAAACAATTGGCCATACCGGTAACCGATCACAATGCCTGTACCAGAAAATACGCCACAAAGAAAGTAAATCTTATCAGTTCTCAATTGTGTGCTGGTGGAGAATTTGCAAAGGACAGTTGCGATGGCGATTCTGGTGGTCCACTAATGCGCCAATCACACATGAAACGTTGGTATTTGGAGGGTGTTGTCTCATTCGGTAATCGCTGTGGTCTAGAAGGCTGGCCAGGTGTTTATACACGTGTTGTCGACTATATACCATGGATAAAACAAACTGTTAAGCCTTAAAGTGTTGTTTTATTTAAAATTAAATAAATGTAAAGAAAATGTTACCATTTTTTTGGAAATTATATAAAAAATATAAAATCTACAACTGCGTTATTTGCAATTGCACAACAAGAGATTATTATTGGATATATGTTATATTTGGATACATATTTGGGAAATTTATACGAGATTACTAAATATGAAATTACAGCCAATTCGTTTAGAATACGTTAAAAAATTGCCAAAATATATAAAATTGGAGGTACGTTTTTATGGGTTTGCCAAAGGATGCTACCGATTTCTTACAATTGATAGTACCCTTAAAATACTTAAAACAATTAACGATGAATTGTAAACAAATTAATTGTGTTTGATTTAATTTTCATTTAAATTTCAAATATAAAGTTCTTATAATATTAAAATCTTTATAAGCTTAATTCGAATGATTGATATAAAATTAGGTAAGCTCGCAGTTGTAAATCAAAGTTTTTTTCCAAATAATCTGTGAAATGTTTGGGGGGTCGAGTTCAATAACTAAATACTTTATTCCTTTCTCAATTTTTTTTACAACTTTCGTGATATTTTTTGATAGGTACTTTACTATAAGCTATTTATAACCAAAACTATACTAAATGCACAAATGACGCCTCCTACCACACACACACATACAGAGAACAAACGAAACTTTATACATAAATTATAACACATTTACTAACGAACAAACAAAAAAACTATCGCTCATACACAAATAAACTCTGAACTAAGAGTGATGGCAATGAACCTAAAAAAATAAAACAAAAACGAACAAATGGGGTATCCATGTGTATAAGTCCCCTTATAAGAGTATTTTGTTGTCTATGTGTGAGTGTGTTGGTGTCCATGTCGACATTTGTTGAGTGTGTATTATGAAAGTTTATGCAAATTATCAGCACATAATTTATCACATTTGCATTCAGCAATACCTTCTTCCCACATCCCACAACATTCATGGCCGTTCAATGAAATTCACAGCAGCTATGCCCTACCGTACCGGATAAATAGTGAACTCTAAACACCATCTAATGGATACAAATTGCAGAAATTATGATGGACACATACACTTACCCCCAAAACAGTGAGGAGCCGTCCACAGCACATTTGTTAAAAGTGATGTGGTAGTGGTAATGATGTATGGTTGTATGTATGTATGGTTATCTGTGTAATCTAAAAAACAATTGGCATTGACTGTAAGTGTATTATAGGGAAATGTAATTTTGAATGTACAGTACAAAACCTTAAGCATTTCCAAGTTAATTTCCTCTGAAAGAAGTTGGTCTATCTAGGGGTGGTATGAATTCAAAGGGCAGATATTTTTCGTTTATAGTAATGCGTCGTGAGGACAAATATAAAAAAATGGTGTGTACTATATATCAGAGATGGCCTGTCAGAAACAGTGACGTAAATGACATACATTTCCGACGTATAATACATACGTCAGAAACCCCCCCCAAAACCATTATGTTTTTGACAAGATAGAAATTCCCATTAATCAATTCGAAAATTACGCACGCTTTACTCAAATCCATATAAAATGTCAAAATTTTCTTCTCAAAAAAGTTCAGCATTTTTTATTAGCATTAGTAAGGAATAGTCAGATGTACGTAAAAATAATATATATTCTTGAAAATAACTGTATATGGTTATAATATTGAAATAAATGACGTTTACTACATTTATTACATTTTATACAAGTATATGACGTTTTCTGACAGTCGAAAACCTAAAAATTCGTCAAACGGACCATCCCTGCTATATATATATATATATTGCAATTCAAAGATTTATCCTGAAATATATCCTGGGTCAGAGTAAAATTATATGCCACGTCCGAGTATCTTACTATTTATATGTGTTCCTAGGATGTTTACATTGATTAACATTTTGAAATATTCCCCAACTTATTTTCTAATCGAAATGACCGTAATTTAACGTTTCGGTTTGAAGAACAGTTTTAAGAAAGGTTCATGGTTTGTCAATTTTAAATACATATTCAAATCAAAGCGACTTTAATTTGAAAATTCGGATATCCATGGGATAAAAGGTGTCAGAAAAGTTTCAATGTACTTTCATTTTAAGTTCGAAATAGGTTTATGTTTTAAACTCCAATAGAACGCTTGAAATAAATATCCATATCCGAAAAGGATCCTTATACAAATTTGGTCGACACATCGTTGCCATAAACTCATGATTCACCATCAGTTATGACCTTATGCTGCAGATCTGGATCATCGGTGACTAAGTATAAAATTTCATTCACCAAACCTTTCAAAATTTTTGATCACACGTATATTGAAAATTATTCTGTAAGGAACATCTCTGAAATTATTGTTGTTTAAATTCCGTAGAGTATATCACATTTCGTCAATGTACCAACCGAAATCGAAATAGCATTTCTCTATTTGTGGTTGATGTCAACACATACATCATACCCAAACAATAACTGTGGCCACACCCCACCACACAAACAAAAAGTTTCTTTCGTTCCCTTTTAAGTAGGGATAGCTTTGCTGTTTTTTTTTCGGCAACGCCATCATTGCGAATGATTGTGTAATTTTCGAGTATTTTGGTAATATTAACTGTTTTTAAGCTGTTTGTTGGTTGGAAAACTAAACTTTTGTTTGATGATAGATGTGTGTTTGTGCGTGTGTGCATGTGTGTAATGGTTGACAAAGAGTCACCAGGAGAAGAGCATGGAAACCCAAAATAAACTCACAACCCAGAAAATAGACGGAACTAACTAACAACTAAAACTATGCCACCAACCGTGGATCAACGATGAAAAAGCAACCAGGCCGTAACATGCATTATCGCTTACACATGTATCCAGCGACAAATTCGCTCCATTATAAACCGCCACATGATGCATGCATTACGCTCGGCCCAAATGATGGCAAGGTGGTAAACTTGGTCATGGCAATGCCAGCGCTGATGACGATATTTGCTTCTCTCTGCTGTGCTCTACATCTATTCAAAGTTTGTTAGTCAAAGTTCGGTTCGGTATTAGAGCAAGGGTAAGCTGCTTTGGGTGCCCAAACTGAAAAAAAAACAAATTTACTCACATTTAGAAATTTATATATATTTTTAAACTTAAACAAACATCAAGCCACACAACATTTGATCAATGGATTTACAGTTTGTAGGAGTATGAGCTTTGGTGCCTCACAGTCACAGCCACAAAAACCCGACTGCTGCCGCTGCACTTGGTATAGAAATGTCAACTTTTCCTTCGGTGGCGTTGAGGAAATACTAAAGTGTTGCTGGTGCAAGTAATGCCTTAAAAGTGTACGGAAGCAGTTGTTTGTTAAAACGACTACATTCAACATCTATATCAAAGTATTGGAAAAGTTTCGTAAAACACATCAAAGTGAAAAATGTGTTTACCGCAAAACACTTGAAAATGGGAGATTTCCAATGAAAATTAACTGCAGAAATAACAGTTACTTTGGTCCCCCGTTTCGATGGAAATTTTTTTAATGCTTGCGGGTTTCAATTGGAGCTAAGATGGTAGTTGGTATAGCTAGGCAACGAACTGGTAGGCGAATATTCACTACACATTCGCCCACTTGTTCGCTGAAAGTTCTATGGAGGGTATTTTTGCCATTCTGGGAATTTCTTAGACGAACTATTTTTAAAAATACCAAATTACAAGGAAGATGTTAATGGTGAAACCACGATAGAACTTGCCATACTTAAGGTAGTGTTTTGAAAATGTTCTCATACCATGACATCAGTTCTGGAATGCAGGCATTACAAATTAGAAATTTACATACCAATTGAATGGAAATTGCCAGAAATTTTCAATTTTTACACAGACCCCACATAAATGAACCGCCTTATTTTAGGTAGTTTCCAATCGATGGGGCTATAGTAAGAAATTTCGGGGTTTCAGAAGAAAAAACCCCAATTATCGAAGTTAGTATAATTCCACGTTTGAAAAAGTTCATATAAACATTGAAAAAATTTTTATATAACGCCCCCGTTTCAGACACATATGAAAAAATGTAAACTTTAAAATTTAAATTGGAACCCGTACTGGTCATAGTTAATTTAATTTTAGACAGGATATCGATGGTAACTTCAAGCACTTAATTTTTGGAACCTCGGCTGCAAAACAATGAATGATGAGCAGGATCTATGGCAGCTTTGACAAAGCATTGATCTATATTGACCTTCAACAGGTATTTTATTCTCTGAAAATCAGAAATATGGTAAGAAATTTTTATTAACATAGGAATATCAAACTACTGTGTGAAAAGATGGACTTATATTGAAAATAGTCTGTGGAGGATATAAAACCCCTCCTAGGACCAGTTCCAATACTGAACAAAAATTCATACACATCCATTTAATCCAAAATTGGCACGTCATTGTGTTACAATGATAATAATCCACTATTTATTATACACCTAAGAAGGCTTATAATAATCCTAAGGTAACCTCTTATAACCAAAATTGACCCTTCCCGACTTCTTTTCTGGTTTCAAACACCAAAATAACCCCAATTAACTGTTGAAATTATTTGTTTTTTTAAACCTTTACAGGAAAAGAGTTTTTCCACCATTTCATTTCTATTAACAATTACCCATATATTTCTTCCCCCTCCGCTACTATTTTCGTGAATGGCATTATTGATGTACCATTATGTATACCATCTTGCATTGGGTTAAACAAAATGTCCCACATAAATAAGATTGATGTAAAAAAGTTGCTTTAATTTAGTTACCGTAATGTAGTCATCACAACCAACTTTTTTTTAAAAATTTTCTCTTGTCTATTTTACTTTGACTTCCAATAACAGAGGAAAACTTCAATGTGAGAGAGTGTATGTATGTGTGTGTGAAAGTGTGGCATTCAGCGCATACCGTCTGGATGAAGACACTAATGCAATTTCCAATAACCATCAACTGCAAACTTTAATAATATCCAGTTCACAAACACATGCAGACAGACACACACTCACACACAGATACACTAACACCACT